GGCGGGGGAGAGGTTGTGTGTACGGGTCAGCGCCCGAGGCCGGGGCGTCCACACTGACTTTCACCTGGAACATCACCGATGCTGACTGAGGATGAGAGACAAAAAGAAAGGGAAAGAGAAATGCTACGAGAGAGAGTGAGAGAAAATCAAGAAAAGGAAAGGAAAGGACAGAGCGGACGAGCTCTGTCTCAGGAGTGCTACTCCCACCTCCATCCCACACAAACTCCTACAGAGATGTCCTGGAACACACACACACACACACACACATGTACGTACAGGTAGGTACACTGTTGGGGACGTTTATTTACGGATTATGAGAACTAGTTAATGGACCTGTTTGGACTTTATGGGGTGCAAAGTATTTATCACATGATTGCTTGGAACTGGAAAGATTTGAAGCAGACTTTGGTCTATTGGCTGTTTACTAAAACAAAGTGACTTTGGAAAACAGTGTCCAGCAAAGATTTTACAGAGAGATAGAGGGGGAATTTTATTGCTTTGAGTGTTGAGCAAACAGACCTGGAACCCATGATGGATCTATGCTGCCATGACCTAGCAACAGCCTCTGGATTGAGGAAGTGGATGTTCTTTCTGTTGTTTTCTTTTTTCCCTTTTCTGCCTATCTTTTCCCCCACCCTAATAGCTCTGCCAAATTCCAATTGGCCTCTCTGTGAATGAACTTGTGTTGTCTGTGTGTATTGGGATTAATGGGATAGAATTTGATTCGCATTGTAGCTCAATTGATAACCAGCTTACTGTTAGTTTGAAATATAAGTTTGCCTGTAATAGAAGTGCTCTTTTTGAGTCTGTTGAGTCTTTTATTGTTCCAGTTGATGGTGTTAAAGAAAAACACATTGACCATTTTAGTGAAGACATAAAAGATTCACACTTCACACTGGACAGTGGAGTAGTACGTCTTCATTTGCAGTGTACTCCTCCTGTCAGAGTTGCAACAACCAACAGATGCACTCACACAAACTTAAACACACACGTGTATGCACTCACCATATGCTCAGACCCACAAATGTTCATGTCTGCATGAACACACACAGCAGTTACTCAGATTCACACAATAGCCACATCGACACAATTCAGGTACATGCACCCATAGACACACACTCAAATCTCTCACACACACACACACACACACACACCACTCCTCTCCCCTGGCCCCCCCACCACCACAGACTCTCAAAGTCACATCTCCAAAGAGACGTGACACACACACACTCACAGAGAACCTCACACACACAGACACAACCACACAAATGCACATTTGTGCACACAATCTCACACAAGCATCCACACACTGGTTGGTTGGCTCACCGAGACGTTCCGCAGAGACATTTCATTACCCTGCTGGGTAACATCCTCAGTGCAGCCTCCAATGAAGCACTGTTGTGTTTTCCCACCTGGTATTTAAACTCTGGAGTCCGTTAGAGTTGTTTAGCTCATTTTCGGCTTTTCTTCGCAGTGATGTGTTTACAGGACTCCAGAGTTTAAATAACAGGCAGGAAAACACAATGGCACTTCATCAGAGGCTGCACTGAGGATGTTACCCAGCAGGGTAATGAAACGTCTCTGCGGAACAACGAACCAGCTCGGCGAGCCAACCAACCCCACACACACACACACACACACACACTTTTGCATACATGCACACACCTACAGCCAACCACCCAAGCTCACACATGCACACAGAGAAAATTTTCTCACATGCAACAAATGCAGACACACAGCTGCATATTCAGACCCACACATACCCTTACCTACGCAGATATCCACACACACACACAAGATTCTCTGACACATACACAAATACACACAAACACACACCCCCATAACCATACACTCATGCATGTGCAAATACAGAGATATGAGCACACACACAGACAGACAGACACAGACGTACACGCACCCACAAACATTCACATACATTCATGCTCTCTCTGAGACTCACAAAGATACAGACACATGCAGACATACACACACTCACACAAATGCAAACTTTTTGTACACAGCAAGAACAGAAACACCTTATACAGAGGAAGGTCCCACAAAATCTGTGAGGCATTTTATCAAAAGAAAACAAGTTGCTTGCATAGCACAATGTCCATACGGTATTATAATGGGCAGGGGTTGGAGTGGCTCTTGGGGGCAGGCGGGCGGGGAAGGAGGGAGGGAAGGGAATGAGGAGGAATGGGGTACAGGGCCTGAATCTTTAGGCGTCTCTCTGCTCAAATGTCAGCAGCATGCCATCAGGCACGATGGCACCACGGGACCGCAGGTCTGTGCTGTCCTCTTCCTCTGAGTCAGAATCTGGAAGGCAGAAGCAGAACCGACAGGCGGGATGGAGAAACCATGTGGCAGTCCTTCATTATTCTACACACAGTCAATTGGCAGGATGTTGGGGGTGTGGGAGGGGAGCTGGTCATGGATTGTGAGCGTAATGGGGGACACAGCGCTGGAAGATGAGACTCCCTGCTTCCCGTCCCTTGATCCACACCAGTTCAGACCAACCTTATTCTCGGGACAGTGAAAGGTCAGTGTCAATCTAACAACCATTCCCTGTTCCCCACCCAATCTGACACAGAGGGAGATGG